ATCTGAATTATGGAACTGAAAGTGAAAGTAGTCAAACTGAATTTTTAATGAACCAAAATACAGTTTCAAAGAAAATTAATTCAGATACAAAACTTTAAATTCAGTTTTGATTTAGTAAAATTAATTTTCAACCAATAAATTCAAATTCTGAACATTCAGATTCAGTTCCTGCTGACACAAGATTGATCCCGTACCTTTGTTTCTTTTTAAACATCAGGTGACCCGATCGGGTCGAGGAGTCCGAGGTATCCAGAGTTCTTGGCTGCGTTCACAGAAACTGATCTGAGGTCATGTTGGTGTGAACACAGCCTGTAACAAACAAACAAACAAACAAACAGGAAGTCACTTATGGCACAAACACCAGCAGAGCAGCAGCTTGAAGCTCAGACCCAGAAGAGTTCTGAAGACCGGGCCTCATCAGTCCTGACAGTTAGAAGTGAAACATACGTGAAAAAGTTTTAAACGGACCCCGATCCTTCCAGACCACCTCAGAACCACAGAGGACCGGATCAGGACCGTGGAGGTTTAAACAAATAAAAACAACATCCTGCGGCTTTAACTTAGGGTTTGATGTGGATCAAACAGAACCGGGTCCATCTGAGCTCGTTGGCAAACTTTAGACTAAATACTGCCTCAGATGAAAACAGGAGTGGCGTGAAAAACAAACAAACAAACAAACAAACAAACAGAGCCGTTAAAGGAGCAGTTCACCTGATTTAGTAAATAAAACATCAAAGTTTGATGTCGGCAGGTTCTGATGGTTCTGATGGATCCAGACTACACCTGGTTTACCTGACATCCTTGATGAGAACCTGCTGATTGTGGAACAGACCTGATCCACCAGCAGGTGGCAGTGTTCAGATAAATGTTCTGGACGGGTTGAAGGTCCAGACAGAACCTCACCTGTTCAGGTGTGGTCTGGTTCAGAGTTAGTGTTTTTACCTGTGTGACCTGTGACCCGGATCAGAACTGCTCCTTCACAGGCAGCTTTGACCTTCCTGACCCGCGTCTGCAGGTCCAGTCAGATGAATGTTGATAAACGGTGATAGATCAGCTGACAGGGATTAACACAAAGCATTGTGGGTAAAAACTAACCGTTGATCCCATCAGGAGCCCGGCGCCGGTCTTTGAACCAAAAACACAACGAATGGGATGAAACCGGGTCGAGGCAGAACCGGTGCTGGGGTTCACCTCTACAGGCCGTGGCATGTCGAAGCCGGCGCCGGTCCGACCCGGGTCACACGGGGTGGAACAGCAGCGTGCGGTCGTCCCTCTCCGCCGACGCCATGATGCTGGGGAGCAGCGACAGGGAGCCCTTGGGCAAGGCACCGCCGGTCCTCAGGTAACACGAGACGATCTTCTGGTCCAGGCGCAGCTGGCGGGGGATGCTGTCGAACGGTTTGGGGTCCAGGTCCAGGATGGAGACGGAGGAGGAGAAGGCAGGAGGTCTGAGGGGTCTCCTCTGAGACGAGAGGCTGGAGGAGGAGGAGGAGCAGGAGGAGGAGCAGGAGGAGGAGGAGGGTAAATGAAGGAGGAAGGCTTTAAAACAGGAAGTCACAAATGTCTGATTCAGCTTACTCTTCATCATCGTCCTCTTCCTCAGCACTGGGCACGAGGGCCACCATGAGGGAGCAGTCCTTGGCCGTCATGGCGATCCGGTACTGATGGACCTGCAGAAAGGAGTTTTATTGAGACGCGGTACCGCCTCAGGTTCTGAAGTTTCATTAAATGAAACCACAGGGAACAAACGGGTCGTTCTCTTTAACTCAGACCTCAGACCCGTTGGACCAGAACCTTTCAGACCTTAGCAGCAGCGAACTCCACGGAGCTGTCGTCCTCCGTTGAAAACTTCTGGACTTTCTCCAGGAAGGTTTCACCGTACGGTCCGTCGATCTGGAGCCGGGTCCTGCCGCGGACAGGAGGAGACATTAGAGACCAGGTGGACCTCTCAGATCCAGAACCAGAACCAGAGTACCCACCTGTCTTTGGGGAAGTCCTGCAGGTGTTGCTCCACTTGGCGGTACAGAGGATAAAGACCTTCGATGTCCAACGTGTCCAACATCTGTGTCTGCAGGATCCGGAACAGAACACTGTCGCTGGGTAGACCCTGAGATCCTGCAGAGACAGAGGAGTTCTGACAAACGGTTCTGATCCGTTTGGACTTTGACTCCAGAAGAAGCTAAATAGCTGCATATTTGTTTGAGTTAAATGAATCGATCCAGTTTCTGACCGTGACGAATCCGCTCCTTGTTCAACAGGCTGGCCTGACAGAAGCTCCGCCCCTCTCCTCGTCTATCAGTCACCTGTCCTCCGGCTCCGCCCCCACTGCTCAGCAGGACGTTAACCAGAACCTTCAGACAGAAACGACTCGTCAGCATCAGAAACAACATTAATAAATCTGATTTTAACTTTTACATGTTAAAGGATTTTTATTTCGTTTTGTCCAGTTTTCTGTTCTGGAACTGATCCAGACCTGAGACTTTGGTTAGAGCCAGAATCTCAGGGTCTGAACCAGAATCTCAGGGTCTGAACCAGAATCTCAGGGTCTGAACCAGAATCTCAGGGTCTGAACCAGAATCTCAGGGTCTGAACCAGAATCTCAGGGTCTGAACCAAAATCTCAGGGTCTGAACCAGAATCTCAGGGTCTAAACCAGAATCTCAGGGTCTAAACCAGAATCTCAGGGTCTGAACCAGAATCTCAGGGTCTAAATCCACGTCTCGGGGTCTAAACTCGAGTCTCGGAGTCTGAACCTGGGTCTCAGACTCTGAACCCGGGTCTCGGGGTCTGAACCTGGGTCTCGGGGTCTGAACCCGGGTCTCGGGGTCTGAACCCGGGTCTCGGGGTCTGAACGGTGGCTCACCTGGATGAAGTCGTTCAGGACAGCCTTGCCGGTCACGTGTCCGTTGATCCGGTTGTTTCCGGTCTGGAAGTAGGGTCTGAGATGGTGCAGCAGAACGTTCACGTCTGGCGGGTCGTCACCTCCTTCCTTACTGCTGTAAACACACTGACCGCCCTGAAACCCAGAACCACACAGACCCGGGTCAGACAGGACCAGCAGACGGGACCCTCAGAGAAGGATCAGGATCACCTTAAAGACTTTGAAGTTGTTCTGAGGTTCTTCGATCAGGTGTCTGACGGCGAACTGCATCCTCTGTCTGTTCCTGTAAGAAACCAGGATTGAGTCCTGATCCAGACCAAACAGCTGGTTCTGGTCTTAAAGGATCCCTGATTAGTTGTAACCTTGGACATGGCTCAGCCCGTTAATATATATTTTTAAAAATGATAAAAACTAAACATCCTACAGTATTTTTACTGTCTTTATTTTACAGTTAAAATAAATGTTTAATAAATAAAGTTAATGTTACAACTAATCCTGGATCCTTTAAAGAATTAGTTCTGATTAACCCGACCCTGAGAAGAGGTCCAGAGGACAGTACAGGCTGCGTCTCTTCCACTTCCCGTTGGCCACCTGCAGACAGAACAAATCTCTCAGGAGGGTTTTATTTTTTATTTTTATTTTTTCTACACAAAATAAAGTTTAAAACTTTAGAAGCAGGTGTTTCTGCTGGAAAACAAACAAGAACTGAAAGGTTCTCAGATCAGAACCAGGTCCTCAGGTCCAGTTTCTGTTCTGTTCCTGTCAGCAGCAGCTGGAGCCGCCAGGACCACTTCCTGTTTCTAACCAGCAGATTTCAGAATAAAAGTCTGTTTTTATTTACAGACAGCTGTTGTTGGTGTTTACCTTGTAGTGCTGGTGCATGCAGTAACGACACACTTTGGTCTTCATGTCTTTGCTGACGTGTTTGGGAGACGGCAGGAAGCCACATTTAGGCTGAAAACACACACACACACACACACACACACACAC